TCAGGGGGACCACGGGCTAGGCATGGGGCAGGGGCCAGTGAACACCACTCTGTTCATGCCCCAGGGAGCTGAGTTATATATCTGGGTTTTGTGGGTTAAACCAATTGTTTGTCCATATAATTGTATTTATGGTATTATTTTTATTAAATTGTAACTCTGATTTATAATCTCTTTGGAGTTGGGTTCATTTCTCCTGCCGGTTTACCTTTAAACCAGAACAGGTAGGCAGAAGATGGGAGTAGGTATGACTCCTGAGAAAGTTAAATGGTACCAGAATTTTGCCTATTTCTGTACCTCATGACTTCATTTTTTTTGTACATTATAGAAATATTACCAAATGATAAAATTAGTTACCATTAAAAAAATTATAGCTGTTTTGCTAGGTTTCCTTAAATTACCATGATACTATATTAGGCCACAGATCACCTTTGCCTGACTATGCAGCAGAACTTTCAATCCTCACTTTTCTTCCAGCTTACTGATACCAGGAACTGGTATTTTTGTGTAGTGGAATCCATACCCAGCATGGCCCAAAAGACTGCCTCCTTGTCCAGAAATGGAATCTTATGGATATTCTTTTAAAACTAATAGTGGAACTTCTCTGATGATGACAGGCTTCTCTCTGACACAGGTTACTTACAGGATCCTATTTCCCTGGACATTAATTATTTGAAACTTTTGTCAACCCTAAGCTCTCCTTGTCTGACATATCCCTGGGCCAGGCACCTTCTTGAAGCCTGGAGCTGAGCTCCTTTTTCTATTTTGCTCTGTAACATTTTTGCTGATTTTCTTTACTACATTATCATCACCATTAAACAAAGGCAGCAGTGTAACTCCAACACCTTCATCCCTATTATTCAAAGAACTTAGCAGATGTATCCACACTTTCATAGTAAACGAGTTTAGTATTTTCTTGAGCTCGGTCTTAAATGTTAGTGGTTTGTTGCACCAGTCCCAGTGATTTTTCTGACCCTGCTCTCTTTCCTCCATCCTAACATTAAGCTGAAACTTATTCTTCAAGTCTGTCCAGCTTGTGGTTTAGACCTTGGGTTGTTCTGCTAACTGGCCCCTGAGCTTTTCCGAGCTGCAGAGCTCTGCGTATCTACACAAGTGCTAGTGTCAGCACACTGTGTTCTACCAGCTTAAAATCTCTCAAACTCTTTCTCGTTTTTTCTATCTATGCATAGTTGTCTTTGGATAAAAGCCATGCTAGCAGTGGTGCAATGGGACAATCAAAGCTAACTGCAGCAGGAATGACACCATGGAGGAAATGGTAGTTGTGATGGCCTAAGGATATGATTCAACAACACACCAATCAGGTGTAACAGCTCTTTGCCTCCAAAAGAGGAGCTCTCCCACCCCTGCTTCCTTCCTTCCATTCCTGCTCACAGATGCATGGTCTGTAGCTTGTTCTGCAAGCATCTGAAATCATCAGTGTAGAACTGCCACAGCTCTGCTGCATGAAGAGGCAGCTGATGTGCTGTAAAAAAATGGCAGGAAAATGTACTCTCTGCACTTCAAGGCACAGCAGTATGTTGGATCATTCCCAAGGAAGCAGAACAGGGCAGGGAAATCTAGGCTCTGAAGATAAAAACATGAAAGACCTTATAGAGCCTGTGAAATACAACGATAGTGTAACAGCCCCCTAAGAGCTCAAAGTTATCATCAGAGGTTTTTGGTCCTTGTGTTTAATTGAGTAAAGTGCAAAAAGAAGACTGCCAATCATTATGGAGGTCTTGGACTCAGAGATGGAGTCCAATATGCCTTTAGGACTCCAGTTCTTGGAAAATGGAAACAACCCCAAGCTGCATCTCCCCAAAGAGAAACCAAGTTGCTGAAATATTATATCAATGGATCAATAATAATATTCCTGGAGTTGCCATACTAATTTTCTTCATTTGGTTGAAGCATTTCTGTGTCTTTTAACAAAGTACATTCTGCACTTCCACTTCCTCCGTGGCAGAAAAACTTCTGATATATTCGATTCTTTAATTGATAAAGTGTTTAGGTCTCTGCTTCACAAGGACTTCAGCCAGCAAAATATCATGGAATCACAGAACCATAGAATGGTTTGGTCAAAAAGGGACCTTTAAAGACCATCTAGTCCACCCCTATTGCTGTGAACATAAACACTTTCCGCTAGACCAGGTTGCTCAAAGCCCCATGCACTCCAACCTTCACCTCCAGGGATGGGGCATCCACAGCTTCTCTGGGCAACCTGTTCCAGTGCCCTTATGGTGAAAAAATTCCTCCTTATAGCTAATATAAATCTAATCTAAGTCACATATAACTGTTCATTATTACTGAGTATGCATACAGGTATGAATACAGCAAGTTATTGTAGGACAGGAGTATGGCGGCCTTAATTTGTACAAGAAAACTTTCATCTGGAAAAGTAAAGGCTGCAGGAATTACCGGCTGAAAATCAGACTAAACATATGGAGATTTCATAAATACTGACCCAAGTCTTTTGTTGCTGTCTCTAGCTTTAATGACAACAGATCATGTTGAAATCTTGTGTAAATTATTTATAAAATTTTTATTTATCTAAGACACATTTATGTCTTCTCTAATTGTGTTATACACGGTCTCCTTTGAAGCAATTACACAGTTTACATTTTGATTAATTAACTAAATATCATAACAAAAACCCTAAAACAGTTTGAAAAATAATTTCATCAAACAAGACTTGAAATTGTATTCTTTTAACAAGGCTGATTATCTTCTCAAATGAATGCCTTGGGACTCAGAGCAAACAATACATCAAACAGACAGAAGCCTCTTAATTGCATCCCAAACACACAGACTATGCTGGTCACTAAAGCAGAATTGAATTTCTCCTTAGGTATTATCTTCCCACCACCAGTCACTACAGCTACAGCAAAATTCTTGTTTAAACTATATATATATAACACTTTTTACAAAAGATGCCACTGTGTTACGTTTCAGTTGATGAATACAGATGGTATGCCAGTCAGTCACAAATGAGTTTTGACACATTGCAGCAGCTCCTGCCTCATAAATAAAACACAGGGTTTGGTCACTGAAAAAACGCAGGGCATGATAAACCATCTATCAACCAGCGCAGATTTCCCCATTCTCTTCCTTGTCAGTGAGCAAGGCTTGTCACTGGAATCTCTACCACGGCTGAACCAGTCACTAGTGAAATTATAGTGGGTGTGTGTGCAGCAACCTGCAACATATTCCACCACTGCCTAAACTCTCCCCTCCATTTTCAGATTAAAAAAAATGACAAAATATTTTCTAAATATATATAGTATACTATCCATGTTCTGGATATTTATAGGATGCCAGAAAAAAATGCTTTTGGCTTTAAGCTGACTTTTAAAAATATTCATCTGGGGAGAATTTGCAACTGTGGTAGATCATTAAAGGTCTCTGGCTACCTTGTTTATTTTCCTTTGCATAATTTCGTCTGCCTTGGTTGTGATGAGATCCAGTGTGTTGATGCTGCAAAGCTCAGTGGTTTTGTTTATATACATAGTCAGTCTCAAAACCTGGCATATTGCTAATAAAAAAGTATGGGAAAATATTTTCAAATTCCAAAATAATGATTTGAAAGGCTGACAGTATTATGGCTATCTAGAAATTACACTGAGTAGTAAAGTCTACACTATATGGAGTAACAGCTGAGGATCAATACAGCTCCAAATTAGGAAGCTCAAAGCAATACCTGTGACAACTGGCATCTTTGTATTTTCTATGACCTGTGCAATGACAATTTCACTCTTTACAGCTGGTGCAAATTATCTGAATTACTGTTGTAGCAGAATCATTACTACTAAAATGTCTAACTTACATAAACAAAAACCTTATATTAAATATAAAATGAGACTGATATTAGAGAAAGTAAAGGAAATTAGGATTTTTAGCACATACTGCTCTCTGAATATTCCCAGAAGTTTGTGGGTACCAAATATGTGATTATACAATCGCTGTAATAAATGCAGCTGTGTTTATTTCACTGCATGAATCAGACAAACTGTACAAGCTAAGCATTGGTGTCTTGTTCATAAATCAGTAAAAAAAATGTAGCACTGTATGCAAGATATACTCAGACCTTTTTTCTGTTCCAAGTGTTTTCAGACTTGGCAGAGTACACGTTCCTTAGAGGACTATGAACATGCCCAATTTTAAGCATTTCTAGCAAAATCATTTTTCAGTTAGTTCAAGAAAAAACATATTAATTCCTTGTTTAATAGCATAGGAATCAACTTTTAAATACAGTGAAATCCAGCTAAAAAAGTTCTGTTTAGTTTTGCTTAAAAATGGGGTGAAAGAAAGTGTAAAGAATTTCAGCCTATTTCCTTTCAGGAATAGCTTCTCTAGAAGAAAAAAAAAAGTTGACTGTATTTGAGCATCCTTCCAGGAGTCTCCATTTTTATCTCCTCCCAAAAGTTTGCGAATTTAGTCCCTGATTGTACATACACAGAAAAAAGAAATAAAACCCAAACAAACCCAAAAAAACAGTGTCAATGATGCTGCTTTGGTTCTTTGCTGGGTCAGTTTTTCTGTGCTTTGCATTTAATGATAGTTACAACTGCAGTTTTGACTACTAACACAATCCTCGTGATCCACAACCAAAACATGTAATGCATATAGTCAGTTGTTTTCCACTGAAGTCTATAACTTTTTATAATTCTTTCCATATAGTTGGGGTTTTTTTTAATATACCTTTAAAAGGAAGTCTTATTTAAACCCATGATTCTATTATAATTAATTTAAAGAAAGCTTAAAATAGAATCCTTCTCATTAACATCTACTGCACTATAATTAACTATTAGTCTATATACAATTGCCTTCAGTGAAACAGTGCTGCTTGCATGCCCACTGTATTCCATCATGTATTTAAGCCTTAAACAGTTTTCTCTGGAGGCCATCTTTATTCTGCAGGAATACAGTGCCCACCGTCACAGGTATCCTTTTTGGAGATGAGACCTCTTGCTGCTGTTTCTCTTTCATATTTCCAATGCAAAGAAAAATGCTTCAGGTATTTATTTTTGCCTTTGCTAATTAGAGCTATTGGAGTAAAATGATATTAAAAAGAAAACTTAAGAATACCATTTAGTGTCTGTATTGCTTGGAAATAGTTTTCTGTACAGATTGTGTACACTTATTCTCTTTAGGGAATGGATTTTTGTTTGGTTTTAGTTCCGCATTTGTATATATCTAACAAAACAGAGTATGAAATTACAAACATGCTTTCCAATGTCTGTTTGAGAGAACAGACATTTAGTCAGTGGAACTTCTCAGCAATATGTCTTCTAGCCTGGAAAAAAACAGTCACTCGATGCTCTTAAAACATCGAAGCAGTTGTATTTGTACTCAGCCACCAAGCTACAGAGGGGGAAGGGAATTCAATTTCCCAAGCAACACAAAGAAATTACTTGAGGCCAACTACAAATCTGACCAGGAAAAATTGCAGACTGCAAATAACTCACAGGCCTACTTTATTGCTATGATAACAATCTAAGTTATATTTCTAGAATATAACTTTATTTCTATAACTGTAAATATAAGAGATATATTTCATGCTCTTAGCACATTCAGTAAAGGGAGCCTAGCTGCTTGCCTTCACAGTTCTTTGCAGGCATGATCTTCACAGATCATCTCACTTAGAAAAATTACTGGATCTTCTTGAGTTGAATTGAAGCTTCCAAATGAGACCTGTAATTTTGCATATGGAGTTTACCATTACAAAACAAAAAAAAGCATATTCGAGCATACTGTGTGGCTTAACAAGAAAATTGTAAGTTTGCCTGCTTTTGTTTTACGCCAAATTATCCATAAAAAAAGTTCACCTACAAATTCTTTCCTGTAAGCTATGAGTTCACCCTTGCCCATGATGCCAGCAGAACCTTTGACAAAAATTATGGTGGATCATGTAGCACAGGCTATCTAACTGCTTCCTTTTTCTTTTTCCTCTTCTGTCTTGTATTCATTTGTTGCATCGTCTGTGTGGTAGGAATTGCATTTATTTGCTCCCTGAATTTGTAGAGAGTTTCACACCATTGAGATTCTTGGCCATGACTTTCAGAGGTGTGTGCTGTACACACTACAGGTGAAGCTGAAATTTAAAGTTAAACTTTATTTACTGGACCTTCCCTAGCATGCCTGTGTTACTCTGTACTAGTAATACTGTTCAGTGGCACTTCATAGAGAGAATGTGATTAGTAGTTCCTCCTACTGACATTAAGTGTAAACACTGGTAAAGAAAATAAAACCGTTTTTGTAGGCCCTTAGCCAAATTATTAAAACAATTGAGAAAGTATTTTATTTCAATTGTGATCTTAAGACTGTTTGGTTTTTGGTTTTGTTTTGTTTTTTCCTGCAAGGTCTTTCTCCTCTTGTGATAAATTACTGAACAGTTTAAAAAACAAGCTACAGAAAAAAAAGATGCTCTGTGGTTCTTTGTGCTATGAGCTGCATGTTCTATCTTGTACTAAATTAATCATAAACTGTTCAATATTTAAAAGGGGAAAAGAGCAGGTGCCTGCCAGGAACAGGTGTTAAAAATTTTAGGTTAAATAAAATCCAACAATCCTTTCCACACATTATTTCCATAATATACATCAGAAAACATACTCTGCACTCATACATCCCCAGCTGTGCATGTGTCATATCTCTTCTGATCTGGTCTTGGTTTTAGAATTTATTTTCCATTTTGGTTCACAGTTTTGCTGACTTTCATGGAATTCTGTAAACACCATGTTGCCGATCTTAGAGTGATTGTAAACATCATTACATTTATAGTGAGTAGCCCGATGAGTACCTGCAAAAATAATTCAACAGGCTGCCCAAGGATGAAGAATCCACCTAACATTTATTTTGATTTATTTTAAAACCTCATATGAAATTCATCATTGTCTACTATTGAACATGAACGCAGGAGTAGTATCATATTATCCCAGCCTTTTCTCAAGTCTATTAATGGGTTATTTGAGTCCCGTGAGAAAGGTTATTATGATAAAAATAATGAAATGGTTTGATAGATGGAATCATTTGATTATAATATATTTTAACATGTGAAAAAGCACTGTCCAAACAAGACAATCATGCAAGATGGAAATTAGTTATCATCCTTCAGAAAACCCTACTCTTTTTACAACATACCAGCATCTAAAGCCATGGAAACACTTTTGAAATAATTCTAAAGGAGAACACATTATACACTAGGGAACTACCAGGGCATTTATCAATAATCTTAGTTTTAAATCCATGACAGAGTCTGAAAACTTGTATTAGGTTTGGAACTGTACCTGAAATACTGGTTGTGCTGGCAGAGCCAATGATAGACTTTTTATTTTTCCATCTGGAGCACTGGGATTGTTAAAACAATTAATGTGTAGCTCTAAAGTGCTTTTTCATTGGAGAACTTGAATGCATATTACAAATATTTAAATATTTAAAGGAGGGCAAATGGATCTGTACAGTAGCTTCTATATCTATTGAACACATATAGCATATTAGAATGTTTTTACATAACTAAAAACTGTGTAAGGAAAACCTCCTTCACTAAGATTGTAATGCAGTGCTGGAACAAGTAATCTGCATCAGTGATGGAGTCTCCATTTTTGAAGGTTTCAAGGCCTGGCCAGACAAAGCCACAGATGGCCTGACAGGAGGCTGTGATACAGGATATTTGTGTAGTTTTTATCTTGCAAGTTTTACAAGATAGGCTGGATAAAGCCCTGGGAACCTGGACTGTGCATGTAGTTGACCTCCTTTGACTTGGAGACCTCATGATTTCTCTTACAAGATGAATTACCCTATGATGTTTGACCTTGAGAGGTGCTTTTCAACCACTATTACTTCCATGACACTGTAAATATGAAATCCAGACTAACTAGTGGACACATTAGTAACATTCTTTAAACAGTTTTCCATGCATATAAAGAAATCAGGTTTGTTTGTTTGTTTTCTGGAGACAAGACCACAGCATACATCCCAGGGCTCCATCCAGGAGCTGAAGACACAGCTGGAGACCCTTAGCTTAGGCAGGAATTGAAGGCCCTGAGCTGAGCTGAAGTGGGGCTCCTGGGCCCATGGGCAGTGGAGGGGGGGGGTCCCAGGTGGAGTTGGACAGGGCCATTGAGACCCTGGAGGCCTAGTTTTTGGTGTGACTGCCACTTTCCAAGTGATTCAGCAAGTCTCTTCTGTTTCTCCCTCCTTCTTCACCTTGTTACTATGTTCTGGGTGTCTGAATCACCTTAGTGCTGGCCCAAGGAGGTGATTTATCCAACACCCACATTCTGGCAAAAGATTTGTTTAGTTTTTAAGCAGGTCATGTATTTAATGTCTTAGTAGCTAATCAAGTATTGATTTTTTGCAGTAAGAACACTTTATAAGCACATAATACTGGTGGGGGTTTTAAACTGCTTGCTCTCATGTGTAATAGCACTGACTTCAATGGACTATTCATGCTAGAGATGTGGAGAGTGTTCAGCAATAATACAGAAGTCTAAATATTTATATATGCTTATATTACCTCACTTAGCCCAGTGGTAGAGGGGAGAGAGAGAGAGAGAGAGAGAGAATGTAACATGTTGACATGTTTTCAGTGACATTTCTTGAGGATATACCTGTCAACATTCTGTAAAGCAGAATACACATGTGCCTAACCCACGCAATTCTACATCCATATTAATACAGTTATACATATAATTAATTATATGTATAATTTCTACTCTGCTGCATTGTTCTGCACATTTAGGTGGCTGATAGATACATACACACCTTGTTATGCTGCTCCTTGCAAACCAGCAGTAAGTACTTTACCTCCTGTGAACAGGTATGTCCCAGACTGTGCTCTTTTCTGGAAGGTGATGCTACAGCAATGTCATGCTTCCATGAGTACAAGGTGCCACCCTGTGAAGTATATCCAAGATTAATTATAGAAGCTAAAGAACCCAATGCTTTCATCACTGCCTTGGAAACCTTTATAACCAGCTTGCCATCTCATGTCAACTGAATAGCATTTTCAGAAAGAAGAATCTGATTTTATTTTGCATGCATATCTCAATGCAAGGTACAGACTTAACTTCTTCCAAGTTCTTCTTCAAAGCACTTTCAAGGGTGGGCCTCTAGTTTGTCAGGAGATATACATGTAAATAAAATCAGATTCAACTAACTTTTTAATTTGCTGCTTTAACAATAACATTGTTGCTATTATAACACTGTTACCCTTGGAGCACCTCAGTCAAGGAGTATATACAAATGCTACTGTAATGCTTGGTAGAGTTGTCAGAAAAAAAGCCTTATAAAGGAAGAAGAAAGCCTTTTCTGGACTGTGAATCATTACCACAATACAAAATTATACAAAAGCTCAGAAAAATGGAGATGATCCAAACCACATTTTTTTCTCCCTCCTGGTGAATGTATGATATCCTTATTTGATTCAAGGCAACAGTGTTATCTGCAATAGGATTTGTAATATCAAATAAAGACCATGTGACTTGTGATTATTTAATACTTATTATTATCTTTTATAAGAAATTAATTTTTCACTATAAAATTACTTTCACTACTAAAACATAAAGTCCGATGCTTTCCCAATTATCTGCCCTTGTAGGCTCTGCTAAATCAGATATACAAGTAGCAGAGACACCTTAATAATAATTCTAATGTGATATAGTCTACAGTGATAAGAAATGCACTTGGAGCAAAGCATTACCTGCATGCTAAAATTAATTGCATGTCTTTCTGGGGTATTTGATCCCTCCTACTGAGAGACTAGACTGAAGCAGGGTTAACTGTGGAATCCAACTGCTTTCTGAATATAAAAGTAATTCTATTTTAAAATTGCTTAGTGATGGAAAGATTTCCCCTTAATTTAAAAGCAGACCATCAGATGTATTTCAAACACTTTGCTAGAAACAAAGGACACCCAGTCACCTTCCATCCAAACTGTCAAACCTCTTTGCTTTATTCTGCATGCACAGAACACCTTTAATCACAGGGGGAAAAACAAACCCCACTTCTATATATCAATGGCAAGGTGGGTACATTTGCTTGGTCATATAGCATGTGAGAAATGGAGCTGAATGAACACAAACATTTCCAAAGTTACTCTGCAGAAACACTATTTATATTTATCTCATACAAATCTCCCAAATATCTACACGATTCTGTCTGTAAGACTTGCTTTTTCCCCTTTTTGCAGTCTTCCATATATATATGTATACACATATATGTATGTGTGTAAATGAGGATTCTCCTTGGGCAGGCCTGTGGCTGGGAATTTGTGTCTGGCTTACAGTCTGTGTGAATTTTGCTGGCTCTTGTTTCCCTGTAATGCATGCCAAACCAGACATCAGAAGCCATTTGTATTAAAGAATCAACTGTTTTGGCTTTTGTACCTGCCCTTAAATCTTGTACCACCACCTTATTGTTTAATGCATCTCCAGTGTTATAGATTAGAGATTAATTTCTTTCTTCTCAGTTACTTACATGCAGACACCCTTAGGCTGTTTATTCCCACAGGTGATCTGTCAGTATACCACTGGTCTATCGCAGATATCTTTCAACAACACTGATCTTAATGCATTGGAGTTGATCCAGCTCCTCAGACTCAAACTGTGTCCTGTTGCATAGAATTACTTTCACTGCAGAGTGACCTTCAGTGAACATGCAGTCCCTGTCCTTCACCTGAGAGTCATTTCAAATGCAATCTCCCTTTGACAGCTCCCATTCTTGGACTCAAAGTGGCCATTGAGTCTCACAGCTGAACATGCTATGCAAGTCTTGATGAGGCACTGCCATCTAATAGCCCCTTAGGTCTAATTCAAGATCCATGAGAAGGTTCAGGATCAGGGTACAACTGGAGAATCATTCTCTTGATATCATCTAAGGTCTAGACAGAGATAGGCATGCATCCTAGCTGCACATCTGTTAAGCCATGAGATAGCTTCATATTGAGACATGTGCTTGCAAACACCAGTAAAGTTTTGGTTGATGTTTTCACTGTGGGTAATGCAGATCACGCCCCCTTTGCAGCTGGTGTGTGAATAATGTTTAAGAGTCTTCATCAGAAAACATATAGTTATGAACAATACACTTCTCAAGTGAAAACTAAGATCTCGGAGGTGGAAGAAATTCAAGTAGACAAGTTGTAGAGATACTTGATAAATTCATCTCTCTAGGCAGCAAACTACTGTCACATGGGGAAAACCAGCTTAGGCTACCAGCCACAGCTAGGAAACATGTGCCGAGCATTCGAGTCCACAAAGCCATCAATGATAAGGAGCACTGAGGAGACAAGTGATGATCAGAAATGCAATAGCGACAGCACCAGGAAATAGACTTGGTGGGGCTGAACTCGTTAATCACTAAGGCTAGGTAGGCACGCCCTGCTAATAATATTGCCTGCCTTGAAAATTAAGTTCCTGCAAGCCAACGACTCAGGACTGGAATCCAGGTCGGAAATGACACAGAGAGCTGCATCCAACTACACGTGGCAGCAGGGCCCCCGTTTAACTAAGATCAACAGCCGTCCTGGGCACATCTGTCGCGAGGATGAAGGCAGGTCCATCAGACCTGCGCCTTATCTCGGGTGCTTCCACAAGGAGAGCTCGAGTGCTGGGAAAGGAGCGGCCGCGGCGAGCTCCGGAGCGCGGGGTGCGCTGCCCTCTGCGGGCGGGGACCGGCACTGCCGGGGGGCCCGTCCCTCCCCGCACCCCCGCCAGGGGCACTGCGGGGACACCGGCACGGCCCCCAGTGCCGCGGGGGGACGGTCCCTCTGCCGACCGCTCCCAGCTTTCACCTCCCGGAGCTACAGAGTCACAGAATCAATTAGGTTGGGAAAGACCTCTGAGATCATCGAGTCCAACCTGTGACTCAACACACCTCCTCGTCAACTAGACCATGGCACTGAGAGCCACATCCAGGGTCAGTGACTCCATCACCTCCCTGGGCAGCCCGTTCCAATATCTAATCATGCTTTTGGTGAAGAAATTCTTCCTAATGACCAACCTAAACCTCCTCTGGTGCAGCTAAAGACCATGTCCTCTCGTCATCTTGAACTTGCTGTTCCACCGGTGGCATTTCTAGCCCATCATATCATGGCTAGGCTTCACGAACGAAGATTTGGGAAAGGCTCTATCCACATTTGTTACAAGCACGCTGGTGGCTAATGAGACCAATACGAGATAGGCATGTCCGATTGCAAAAGGCACAGCAGAAAGACTCCTTAGATGGTATGTTCTGCAGGACACGATTCTTTCTGCGTTGTCTTTTCTCCTCGAGAGTGATCCTGTGTTCTCAAAGGAAGCAGCAGCGTTATAGATGGTGTGTCTCCAGACCTCCCGATTTGAGGCCAGAGTAGACCAGTTATGTTGATCAATATGGCCAAGGCTGAGATGTTGTTTCAGGGAGTCCTTGTATCTTCTCTTTGGGGCTCCTCTCTTGTGGCAGGCGGTGGAAAGTTCTAGCCCATATGGCTCCATTTAAGGACTGAGCTCTTCCAGCATGTCCTCTCAGAGAGAATTCCTATTGCTGACCCCATCTGAAGATTCAGACGCCTCACACTGTCTGAGGATAATTTGCTGGAGGGTTCTGTTGCTGCCTGTGTAAGCACAGTTCAATTGGCTTTAAACTTGTGCTAAGAAACACAGGTAAGGAAGGCTACGAATGAGTCAACTTCCCGATTAGGGCTCCGTAAAGTCAAACGCACGAAGTTCCACCTAAACATGGGGAAGAACTTCCTTACATTGAGGGTGGCAGAGCACTGGAACAAGCTGCCCAGGGAGGTCGTGAAATTCTCCCTCTCTGGAGACATTCAAAACCCACCTGGACGTGTTCCTGTGTCACCTGTTCTAGGCGACCCTGCCTTGGCAGGGGGGTTGGACTGGATGATCTCCAGAGGTACCTTCCAACACCAACAATTGTGTCATTCTGTGATTTTCCGTACAGTGTAAGACACTCGTTTGAGGCACTCAGTGCTCAGGGTGATTAATGGTCTTGAAAAGCAAAAGCAGCTGACACCTTTTCAGTACCGAGCGGGTCGTGGCCGGTAACTACAGGCGGGAGATCGCGCAAGCAAAGGCAGGAGAGCACGGTGTCAGCTGGGAAAAGGACCAGACGGTGGCAGTGCGGGGGTTTTCCCCTTGTGTTTTAAATCGGACATTTCGGGAGACACCCTGGGCTGTGAGGGCCGTGAGGCGCCGCGAGGGGTTCTGGGAGCTGTAGTTCCCGTGTCCCGCCCGCCGGGGGCGGGGCCCCACAATGCACCTCGAGCAGCAGTCACGTGACCCGCGCGCCGGGCCCGGCCGGGCTCCGCTTCCGTGGGGGTTCGCCCGCGCCTCTGGGGGCGGGGTCTTCCTTCAGGTAGGGGCGGGGCCGGCTGGGGGCGGGGCCTCCGGGCAGCGGCGGCGGGGGCGTGGCCGTGGGGGTGTCTGTCCTCTTCCTCCTGTTCCTGGCGCCACGGCCGGCGTCCCGAGGCTCCGCGGTAATAAAATGCGGTAATAAAACCCCAGCGGGCAGGGGTGTCGTCTCCCCGGGAGGTGGCGGCGGCGGCGGGTCCGCGGTGGCGCCCGGGGGTCACGGCTGTGCCCACAGCCGCCGCTGCGGGGGAATGGGTGTCATAGGCGCCTCCCCGGCGAGGAGGTGGCGATGTAGCGCCCGATAACAGCACCTCCCACGGCACACGCAGGGCTGGGCAGCGCCCGTCGGTAGCCCGGCACCGGCAATAACAACTGTGTAACAGCGACAACCCGGCACCGGCAGTTTGGCCAGGGCACTGCCGCTCCCCGTGCGGGAGGTTCTTTGTCACATCGCTCCTCGGTGTTTCGATTGGCGTGGGCTTGGCAGCCACGGCGGCAGTAGTCCACGGGACACAAAGCTTGAGATCATGTGGAGGTACCTGTCAGCTGGAGCTGGTGCAGAAGATTTTAATTACTGCAGGCCTGGGCAGCTTCTGAAAACTGGATTCTCGTGTTCTCAGGAACAAGTGACTGCTTATCTTTGAGGGCTGTATTTCCGTGAGCTGCTCTCCCCCTTGCTTTTATTGTAAATGCCAGTTTTAATGGATGTTTCTTACTTCCTTCTCTTCCCTGTGAAGGACAAGATATTAGTCTACATGCAGTAAACTGGAAGAAATGGAAGAAAGGAAGATCAAGAGGAGGAGCCCCAAATCGTCTACCAGTCACCCTGCTCAGGTTGCTAACTCCAAGAAAAGCTCAGTGCCAGTCAGTAAGAGTACAGCCTTTTCCAACCCTGCCCCACAGCCTGCTGTGCAGAAACCAAAGTTGAAACGGTAAGCTCGGGGCGCATCTTGCAAGCTCAGAGGAAGTGAGAGCCAGAGACTTGTCAGTGCTCAGACAGGCTAAAGGACGTTTAGACTGTCTGTAACAGGCTTGTGAACATTTTTGATGACATATCTTTTTTTACCAAAGTGATTTGTGTTGAATGCAATATAGTGGTTATTTTACAGAAAAGGAAGGTGCTCGCTATTCTTCTTGTAAGCTTTATAAAATGTAACACGATGCTGTAGACTCATACTGGTAACAATTCAGCTGAAGCAGAGGACGTGAAAGACAGAGCTGGGTGATCAAATCTGGGCACCACATAGCAGAGCCCCAGATGTACAGCTGTGAGGAGCAAATACAGTACATGACTGCAAGGTTGGAACTGACAAGTATGGCAGGAAATGAAGGACAAAAATGTGTCAATATTTTGAGGCAAATATTAGTAAATACTAGTGTGGCATAAGTTGGTGGTTTCTTCAGCTGACTGTACAGTCTCAACATTATTCTGGCATGTACTAGAAATTATTTTCTCGCAGTCCACAAGATTATCTAGAGAAAAAAATGTCCTTTCTGCTTTAATTTCTGGACATTTTTGTGCAATTGTTAAACTTAGCAAACAGTGCTAATACAGACAATTTCTTGAACTTTCCCAGCAGGAGTGGTAATTGACATAACAATGTGAGGATGAACTGCTGTTGAGATAGTGGAGGAGAAGTATTTAATTAATTTTCATTTAATCTACAAGAATCTAATGAAGTAACTTTTCCAGGAGCAATACATTTTATTAAAGAGCAGAAGCAGGTGGAAAAAATGGATGACCTTTCTGTCATGCAAACTTTTAAGTCTGAAATTGAAGCACAACTAGCTAAAGTTAAACTTGAATTGAGATGTGCTGCTCTTGAGTTGAACTAGATATTATTGTTGGACTGCTGATTGTTTCAGCATATAGACTATGGGCACATGGTGCTCTATATAAATGTTACGTCTAGAGAAAAGTGTTTGAGATCCAGGAATTGTGATGTTTTCTTGTAAGAAAGGCTGTAGAGAATTTTTAGCTCATCTGATGTTTGTTGCAGTCTGTAGGTGTTTGCGACAACAGAAGTGTATGATTTTTGAGGGGTTTCTCTCAGGCTTAGAGTGTGCCAAAGCTTCTTGAGTGATTTTGTGTAGATAATGGCTGGCCAGGTAACTAGTGGAATCAACATCCATGGAAATGTTCAAAAACATGTCGATGTGGCTCCTGGGGACATGCTTTAGAAGTCAGCATGGCAGTGCTGGGTTTATGGTTGGTTTCTGATTTTAGAGGTCTTTTCCAACCTTAACAATTCTGTGATATTGCCCCATGTGTCATTGCTGGGTAATGATGGTCCACTTTAGATTATTAAGATGGCCATCATATACATGTGGTCCACTGATGCTTCCTACTATTAGTAGGAAAGCAGATTGTTGGAATCTTTCATTTTGCAGTATCAAACTGCTAGGAGAGGGATGTCCTTTATTTTTAAGACAAGCTGGTGGTGATGCAGTTTTTATCTTAAAAAGACTGATTATGTATTATGTATTTCCCATTTCATTTTCAAAGCCCGGATGTACACTTTTCTTACATTGCAGATTCACACTGAAAGTGAAAGCAGGAAGTAATATTCGGGTTTTTTTTTTCCAGTGTAATAAAAGAGAAAGCCAAACCTCCAGGAGGTGAAGCAAAAGGGGCCCAGGCAGCACCAATCCAGCATTCTTTTCTCACAGATGTATCAGATGTCCAGGAAATGGAAAGGGGACTTCTGAGTCTCTTGAATGACTTCCACTCTGGCAAACTTCAAGCATTTGGTAAGTGCATGAATTGTGTGTGTACAATAGTTGGGTTTTATAGCTGGACAATAGTAACATTTGCTAACAAGTGCACGGCATGGACAGACTTGAACTGCATGGCTAGTTTGTCACTAGACTGCCATATGAAATTACGTTTAACATAATTAATACATCTTAGTGCATTTTTAAATTACAGTCCTGTTTTAAGGTTGTTCTTGTTTTGAGATTATTCATATGCCATTTCATTGTTCCTTCTAGCATGGAAGCACCTTGGCTTATTTTAATTTAAGATACCAAGTTTAAAGCCACTTATTTATGACAGTGTAGGAAGAAGCAACTGTATTTAGCACCCAGTTTTGCTGCATATTAACACTTTTGACTATTGGTAACAACTTTTATGAAATCCAATGCAAGCTGTATTTTATCCAGCTTATTCTGCTGTCT